AAAGATAAAAAAAAAAAACCCAAGACACTAAAATGATACAAAAACGACTAATGGACCGGGAAAAACCTAAAATAAAATAAACCGAACGCAAATAAAACACATAAGAACACACAAAATAACAACAAAAACATATAACAGAAGAGGGGATCGATGAGGAAGATCTACTTCTCCTTCCGGAAATGACTGATGTTTCTAAGTGGGAAAGATAGGAGTAGCGCTTGATCAAAGAAAGGCCTTCTCTTTCCGTCTTGTAGCGAAGCATCTCTCTGAAAGCTGTTCCACCGCATTTTGAACTATTTCAAATTTCAATCTCTCCATCTCGAGTCCCATTGGACTCCAACGGAGTAAATAGCAGGTGGAAAAATTGGGACAAGGAGCTCATCTTATAAAACATTTTTCCCTACTGATGCTGCCAATATTCTGAAGATCCACATCAGTCAAAAAGGTTCTAAGGACAAGATGGTCTAACATCCTAATAAGAAAGGATTGTTCATTGTCAAAAGTGCAGGTGAAAGGAGTGGTAAAGGATGTGATCTGTTGTTGGTGTGGTAAGGAAGCTTAAAGCTTAGTGCACCTAAAATTTTCTGGAAGATTATTGGGATTCACTAAGACAAATTGGATCATGAAAAGGTGGATTTTAGGGACTGGTTGGAAGATCGTTGACATCTGAAAGGCACTGATCATAACAGAGAAAGAAAAGATTTTCTACATATTTGTTATGGTGGCTGCGGAGGACAAGAAATGATTGGATATTTGAGAAAGAGAAGGTGACTAAAATCCAGTCGGTAGAGAAGTCTAGAGTAGAGTGGCTGGAATTTAAAAGGACTAATAACATTGAAGAAAGAAAAGCTCAGGGGTTGCGTACTAGTGTAGAGGGGATGGAGTCAGTGATGGAGCAGCGAATCGGGATGCAGTTGGATGCAACCAGTGCTACTGTCACTAGTCCTTGACTTGAGAAGTTGAAGGGGGTAGCTTTTGCTACTGGAGTGCAATAGGTGGGTTGCTGCCAATATTGGGTGCTGATATCCTTTGGGGAGCAGAGAGAGTGGCTGGCCTTAGCAGCTGATCAAGAGTGGCAGGTTGTGAAGGTGTACGTGAAAAATAAAGCTTTGGCAAGGTCACTATTGCGAGAACTCCAGTGGATTCATCTCTTTGTGTGTTCATTTAGGACAATTTTTATGTAAGTGGGATGTTTGTTTCTGTGTTTTTTCTTATTTTGTTGTTGTTGTGTTTAGTGTGGCTCGGTGTGGGTTTTGTTTTGTGTGTTGCGGGCCATGGTGGTCTTTGTAGGGAGATTTTTCTAGATGTTCCCCTTTTTTGGTCCCCTTCGAGATTGTGTTCGGAAGGGTTCAGACTGTAATACGCTGGTTACCGAACTTTGTACCATTTGAGTTATTATTAAAGATAAATATATTCTCCTCCCCACGGTGAGCAGTGCACACTAGTTTGTTTTATATGAAAAACGTATTCTGAGAATACGTTTTTTCAATTAAATTTAATTGAAAATTTTAATTGAAAAACGTATTCTCAAAATACGTTTTTTATATAAAACAAACTAGTGGGCACTGCCCACCGTGGGCAGGTGAGCGGGACTGTTATTAAAGATGTTTGAGAAAAAAAAAATAATAAAAAATAAAAAATTTATAAGGTCCTTTCCTTAACATATTCAATAAAATAAACTAGTCTAAGGATACTCTTTCAGAAGGATACCATATTCATATAAGGATACTCTTATTCACACCAAGGCAACACACAATACACGGGAGATAAGGTTCGCCTCTACATGTGTCACAAAGTATCATTCATTCATTCATTCATTCACGAGCCACAACCACAACCTGCTTCCCTACATTGCGACCTGAGAAGAGCCCTACAAGAGCACCCGGTGCTCTCTCGATGCCTACGGCAACATCCTCCACGTAATATATTTTCCCATCTTTTATTAGCGGCAACACCATTTCCAAATACTTTGGGTAGAGGTGGTAGAAGTCGAAAACTAAAAAACCCTCCATGCGTATCCGCCTGGTTATAAGCATGAACAAGTTGTGTATTCCTTGTGGGTCTTCAAGGTTGTATTGAGAGATCATCCCACAAACGGCTATGCGACCGTGGAGTCTCATGTTCTCTAGGACGGCCTCGAGCATTTCGCCTCCCACGTTTTCAAAGTAAATATCGATGCCACTTGGGAAGTACCTAGTTTCCGAATTATAACATCGCATAAATTTGGTGTGCATATTATAAGCAACATAATAAAAATAAATGCTCTATTGGGTCATTCGGCTACTAGCGAGTAAATATTGAGATAAAAAATAAGCTTGTAAAGGTGGAGTTTAACACAAACAGTGAAAACATGAAGGGCCTTGTGTGATAAATGTTATTTTCCTATAGTAACATAGGGAACAATGTAATCACAACTGAAAACAACCCATCAGATCAGGCATAGTCATAGATAAATATATCATACGATTGAGAAAAAGAAGCTTTAAAAAAAAATCACCTCTTTAGAGCCGCATTTAGATCAGCTTCCTCTTTGTAGTTGAATGCATCATCAAAACCAAATTTACTCTTCAAAAGATCCACCTATGAAAAAAAATAAAAATAAAAGGATAAATAAGTATCCGCGACCACATTGACTTAAATCAACAATGTAAATAGGAAACTAACAAAAATTACAACATAATTGATTTCAAAATAACTGATATTTGAAGAAACAGATTGTCATCTTAAAATATCGTTACGATGAAATAAAATTCCTCAAAACCACTTAAGACTCTGACTTTATCATTTTCTAACTATCCCCACTTGGAGTCTTCATTAGATGCTTAGCTCAGTTGATTAACTGAGAATGTACAAACCTTATCTTTGCTTCCAGCACTTCCAACAACGTAACAACCAAACAACTTTGCAAACTGGCCAACAAGCTGACCAACGGCTCCAGACGCAGCAGAAACGAAGACAGTTTCTCCTTTTTTTGGGGAGCAAATCTCATAAAAACCAGCATAAGCAGTCATGCCAGGCATCCCTAAGTGAACAAACATAAAATGTACACACAAGTGCAGACAAGCCTCAGTATTATTTACAATAAACATTGAAAAGAAAAGAAAGCACGAAAGGCTCAAAACCATAATCCTAAAGGGTGGTGGGACACGGAACGGGAGGCACTTAATAAGAACATTTTCTTCTATCGCATGCTTCCATACATCGCCATCAACGCCATCAATTAGTTATCTCAACACATAAGCCTCACCAGAGAATAATCTAAGTGTGATGGTGATTTTAATTGTAATGCAACATACAGAACAATCTCAAAATGAAGTATCCTCTCAAAGCGTGAACTGCTGAAAGAAACAGTAGATTTTATGAGAAGGCAGTACTTACCAAGAATACCGGTATAATAGGAAAGTGGCACATCTGTATGATCAATCTTAAATAGACCATCAGTGGATTTTATAAGGGTGTACTCCTCCCAGCCTGTCATGCCCCAAACCAAGTCACCCTTCTTGAGTTTAGGACTGGATGAATCCACAATTTTGGCCACTCCATATCCCGTTATCGTCTTTTCGCAACAAAGTTCATGCATACAAAGAATCAACAGTATCACCACATAAATATTATGAAGGATACATTTTTCAGAGTTCCAATTAACAGTTTCATTATTATTTTTGCCAAACATATCCCCTGTTTTTTACAAATGTAATTGTAATTTAAAGGCAAAATGTTATGACGAAGTGCACTCGTGCAGAAATTTCGCTTCATGAGCTTTTCCATTTTCAAGTCTTAACCTTTTCGTTCTCAAAACATAAAAATGGCCTCACATAAGTTCACAACTCTCCGCATACCACTAACTTATCAATGTTCTGAACACCTCATTAAGCGTAGCTGGAGATATAATATTAGCAAATACAGATTTTCCAGCTACTTCAGCATTAGTAAACCCAATTACTAATCAAAACAGAAAACAAGATTCTTGTCTTAATGTGTACAATAATAACTAACGGGAAATGCTATGGTCCCGTTACGGTACCATCCCCTCGGATGTTTTAACCGTTGGATACACATGTAGTTAGTATAAGATAGATGATCCAACCGTTAAAACGTTCGACGGGATACTACCGTAACGGGACCGTATCATTTCCCCTAACTAAACCCTTATCAATTGACAATTATGAAGCCCCAACTTGTGAGACACTGTAGATTAAGTATCCTAAACTTCAATATTCCGATTAGAATAAACTAAAAGTTCCAAAACATTCAAACCAAGTCAAAAGGATGCAAAGATTGCAAAGGACAGAATTTATTCCTGCAAAATCGCCTTTCATGATTTTTTTTTTTTTTTTTT